GCAGCAGAATCCTATTGCACATTTAGAGTAGTGTTAGGTTAATCAGCATAAATTTCAGTGGTTAATTGAGCTGAAACTGATTTGCATATTTGTTACGTGTATGCTTTGGGAAACCAAAACTAGCTATGACTTTTTATGATTTTGCACTGATGTATATGAAATTTTGGTGATGCCCTAGAGCCTAAAAAGGGAGTAAATCTGCTACATTTCGGATAGCTAGTTCCACAGGTTTGTGCTCTAGACACCTTTAAAGTTGGACTTTTTCAACAACAATCAGTTTGTAAATACATTTCGCTTTGGCGTAGAATCTGGCTATTCGGCTTTGATCTCATACAGATTAGTCTGAATTGTGCTGCTTTGGTTTGGAACCCAATGCACAGCACTATTAGAAACAAAGACTGATGCTTCTATAGCCATTAAGGAATTTCTCTCAGCCTTTTTTGTGGGGGTGGTGCCTGTCTCGAAAAGAAAGCAGGCTGTAGTAAAGAGAGAGAAGGAGTCCCATTTCAGTGGTGCATTCACAGCCTTCCAGAAATAATCTCACAAACAACAATATCAGCTGTCACACAAATTGATCAGCTTACCCTATTCTTAGTATACCGCGCTCTGCCCGAAACAATTCCCAGCCGCTGGAAATAAGCTTCAAAATCACTGCCTGAGCCCAGTTTGTTTATCCTGCCCAAAAGGGAACAAAAAGATGGTATAGTTAGACCATTTGTCATGTCACCACTGAATCGCTGTCATGCCCAGCACAAAGGATAGGTCCTGTGAAAGCATGGAAATTTATTGAAAAGAAGTACTGAAATGGGGTACTGAAATACACTTCCAAAATTTGCCACACCTAACGTGTGTGGTGTGAAAGTTCTCTCTGTCTGTGGCGTGCACACTTTGATGGCTCACTCATTCATGTTGATGATCAACATAAAAAGCATGCATATGACTTCCAGTGGTCCCCAACCTTGGGCCTCCAGATGTTCTTGGACTTCAACTCCCAGATATCCTGGCCAGCAGAGATGGTGGTGAAGGCTTCTGGGAGTTGTAGTCCAAGAACATCTGGAGGCCCAAGGTTGGGGACCACCAACTTAGACAACAGTCCAGTGGAACCAACATTCTCGCAGTCAAAATGAAGGATTGTTTCATCATCATGGACGTCACTTGCCACAACCTGTCTGAGGTTTTCTTGAATCTCCAGACTCAGTGTGTCTGTGATCCTTACATTGACTTGAGGGACAAAAACTTTTCCCTAGAAACAATATGTAGTTGTGAGCAATCCTTGTTCCACCATGTAAAGTATTGGGGGGACAGCTCCATCAAGAACAGGCAATTAAGAGCCATTGCCATTAAAAAAGGCCTGTTCTTGATGCAGATTAAAAACAGTCAGAACGATTTAGTTGGTACAAACAGCTGCCTGCATCTCTGGACTCTTCTTGGGGGACATGGCTAATGGATGCCTACACTCATAAGATTTGCCACCAGAAAAAAAGACAAGGAAGAATTTTTCACCTGGGAAGGTTCTCATGTTCTGGGGAAGGATCCTTTGCAAACCAGCTCTCATAGAGAGATCTGCCTTCATATCCTTCATCAGGACTTGTGATCTAGAGTAGGTAAAAGAAGGCGGGGAAATGTGCCCAGATCATTATCATTGTCTTTATTATTTTAAGCAGTTGAAGATACAGTAGGACTGTGGTATCTGCAGGGGACTGGTTTCAAGCCCCCTTCCCCACGGATGCTGAAAAACGCAGATATATTGAGCCCTATAGTCTATTGTCTCTGTCTCCCTCTGTTGGCCAGTTCTGGTAAATACACCCTAGGTAAAGGTAAAGGTTCCCCTTGACATTTAGTCCAGTGATGTCTGACTCTGGGGCGCGGTGTTCATCCCTGTTTCCAAGCCATAGAGCCAGCATTTGTCCATAGACAGTTTCCGTGGTCACGTGGCCAGCGCGACTAGACACGGAACGCCGTTACCTTCCCACCAAGGTGGTACCTATTTATCTACTCGCATTTGCATGCTTTCGAACTGCTAGGTTGGCAGGAGCTGGGACAAGCAATGGGAGCTCCCTCTGTCATGCAGATTCAATTTTAGGACGACTGGTCTTCCAACCTTGCAGCACAGAGGCTTCTGCGGTTTAACCCGCAATGCCACCATGTCCCTAAAATACACACTAGAAATGCATATAAATACGTACTTCTATGGGTTTTTATTTAGTATTTTCAGACAGCAGATAAGTGAATCAGTGGACAGGAGGGTCCTACTATATTCCAAATACATCAAAAACAGGTTTAAGAGGACAGATCCCAAATGCAATCAATAAAATGGGATGAGTTTTAGGACTGAGCTGTTTGAAAGCAAACATTCTCTTACAAAAGCCTGCCCTAGTTTTGCAATCTTTAGGGCAGTCTTTCTCCAGGTCTTGCCACCATCAAAGGCATGTCTAGGGCAGGATGAGAAACAGAATCTTTTCAGTGGCTGCTCCCAGAACCTAGCAATTCTTTGCCAGTGGAGATCCTCCTTAGGATCTGGAAACGTGACATTGAAGTCTTAGATTCTTAAGCAGCTTTCTTTGTATTCGATTGGAGTAACCAAGCCCATACGGACAGAGGAAGGCCAGAAAGAGAGGTAGAAGCAAGTGGAAGCGGAGACAGCTAATAAAAATAAAAACGAAGTGTCTGTACCTGTTTTGTCAGATTATATACCAACTGATTGAGAAGGGGTGAGCAGTCAACTCTTAATGTGTAGTTGCCTGAAAAATCAAACCGTAGACAGGAGTTGCTTTCTTTCCGAGCTAATGGGCCTCCCTCTTGAAAAACGAATCATTCAAAAGCTGGCTTTAAAAGGAAGCCATGGAAATGGTCTCAATCCAGTTAGACAATTTGCCCATCCTTCAAATTATTATTTATTCTGACTCAAAGCCTGTAGAAGTTACATTTTGGGGACAAGAGGTCCAAAATTCCCATACACAACTGGGCTGGGTCAGCGTCTCACCATGAGGCAGCTCTTACTCGCCACCACAGGTGAGCAGGTATGGAATGCTAAGAAGCCTTCAGAATTAGACCATGCTTGTGAGTCTTAGGCAAAGCATCATGAGAACTGGGAGAGAACCAGGAACTGGGGGGGGGGGTCTCTGAGTGTA